CCGTACGACTACTTACGTCAAATAATGTTTATTACCCGCTCGAAGGATTCGGTTAGTACTGATATACGTGTTTGCATTCCGGATATTTTTGTTTATCTTATAGTAATATGCATATTATCTTCTATGTATTAGTATCCTTAAAAGTCAACCCGAAACCCGGTTTGAGCCCGACTTGAGGGCGGGATTCGGATTAAGAATTTGTGTGATGATACCGTGTTTGTATAGCGATTGCACTTATTTCGGGTTAGAAAATCAACAATTTAATCGGGTTTTATCGGATTCGGGTTGCGTTTTCACTCCATTGAAAGACTCTACTATGTATCATTGAGAACAGAGTTTTCGGTTCGAACAGTTGGTTTTAAAGAGATTATCATTAATTATTATGAGACAGTCTGTTCTTTTTCTTAATTTTCCAGCTACATACAATTCATGAATCCATACATTACTAAAGTTATGGTATTGCTTTAAAATTTCAGAGTACAATAATATCATTTTACGCGGATTATCATAAAAACGATGGTGTGCTTGTTGTAAATTAGCAGTCTGAGCGTAAAAATTTAAATTAGTTCTTGAAAATAGTTTATGTACAACTTTAACTTTCCCTAATAAAATGGGTTATAAGACGTAAGTCTTTCTGGTAAATTGAAAGATTTTGGTAGCAATGTCGCTGCATTGCAATTTCGTATCGTAAATTTCGGAAGAACGTTTCGCTGTCGATATGACAGGTTGTACGTTATTTGACCGCCCTTACTCAAACGGATTAGCCTGTTTACTTATATAGTATAAATATTATCAAAATCATTAGCGTATATTATTTCCTTGCACTATCGTGGCCGATAGTCGTACTTGTCGCCATTGGTACGTAAACAATTGGCGTGCCTTGCCATGAATTTACGCAATAGACCTCCTAGTAGCCACCGGCAACATCATCGCCTATTTTATTTATAATGCAGTGGGTGGTGGGGCTGTCGATTTTATTTTTTGATTTGATATTTATTTAGATTATAATTTTGTCCCGTGTGGATTATTATAGAATCTTTAATAATAAACAAATGGACGCCTCACGGGCTGCTGTAGTAGATCATAATTGATCGAGTATTTTCGGAATAATTTTCTTTAAGTTCTTTTGCATGAACGATCACATAAATTTGCATCATGTTTTGTATGTCTCAGTAAGAATTACAATTATTTATTCGTACATTTGTTGGTAAATACGGAACTCCTTAAACTATGTGTTTAATTTTTTGCCTATGCCAACACCCATAATAAAGTATTTGATGATGGGCTGTCCGTTGCATCATTATGTAAACGTGGCTAGAAATGAATAGAATCAAAGTTATAATTTAAACAGTTCAATGATGTAATAATTGGTAATGGAAGTTCAATCTATAGAGAAATTGAACTCTATCTAAGCCTACGGAATTTCCGATACTTTAGCAATACCTTGATATCAAAAATGAACTACCTACTGTACAGCTTATTACAATTTAGCAGATCTATTAACGCCATATAAAAGTGGAGGATGATTTATAGCCTGCCTTACTGCCAATAGCTCATGCTATTGGCAGTGTATTCCGACCAAAGTCACCGAACAAGTACTACTATTAGATTACAGCAGGTGGTATAGGTGCTTCATTATCCTTGCGTTAATGTTAATCGTAGGGTTTCTACTACACACTATCTTTTTAGACGGGTTTTCATTTCTATCCTGATGATATCGGTAGAAACGGTTTGGCTACACCAGGCAATAGCAAATTAAAAATTAAAACTTGAGTTAGATTAAAGCTACATCAGTAGCTATTATGAAGAGCTGTTGCATGGAATTGCCTATTTTATTTCTAACTGGAATGATCAGCAGTTAAATATCTTTGGTGTTGTATTATCCGTAGAAATGACACAGTGCAATCAAAAAGGATGTCATTTAAATGTTGCAATGATTAGGTTTACATATTGTTACAGATTTATACTATACTACAGTCTTATATTCAATCTTTTGCTCAAATGCTGATATTTGCGCTGTTTAAAATACTCAGTAGCCATATTGAGAATATAAACAAGGATGCTTCCATTTATGGTCCTCTGAGATTATATGGTCATCTTTTGATTGTAGGAATTATTTTTACTCCTGTTAAATAGATGATTACGGTACTCTATTACCTAGTTGATGAAATTGTAATGTTCAGGCAGAAATAATTTATTTACTAGATCTAATTTTATAATGTAACAGAGCGCCAAACGTGCTCCACTGCAAGTACAAAAGTCGGTACCGTAGTTTAGATATGCCTTAAAATGGTTATCAATGATCAATTTCAACAGGTGCAAACATGAACACGTTCTATGTGCCTCGTTCTACTATTGCCACTAGGTAGGAAAGAGGGCATTAATAATGATTGAATGGGTAATTTTTTTGGTGGTAAGATCAACAATCTGTTCGTGAAGTTTAGTGGAATATTGATATTTTATTCAAGAGACAGTTGTGTGAACAATTTCCGATACTTTGGTAAACAACAGGCGGAGTAGCTGATGTAGCAAAATGGAATCTAAACTCGTTAATCTGAAATTGGTATAGTGCGGTGCTTGTTGTAGCTGATTAATATTCTGAGTCTTAAAGCACCGAATGGACGGCCTTCTAATTTTTAGATTGTTTTCGTATTGAAGCTTTGCCTGGATTCGTTATAATCGTTTCAAACGACTTAACTTGAGTTGATATACATGCACTTGCCCATGACAATATTGAATTAGCTACGCATGTATACGTAAATAAGAAATGATCACCGTATGAATGAAGAGGTTAAATATTGAAAATTCCAGTACTGTTTAGTATAGTATTGGAAATTAATTTCCTTGACAGTTGGTATTGAACCCGTTAAAACGAGCTAAGAGGAGAGTGTAATATCGTGGAGAATTTCCAGATCAGATGTGTCAAAATTGGAATCTCAATGACACAAAAAATCAACTCTATTCATCGTAGGAAAGAAACAGGGCAACGGTTGTCAGTCTCTCCATTGCTTATACTGCAGGGGTCCGCTGGTTATCCTGGCTCTTTTTTATAATTAGAATTTAGAATTTTGTGTTTACTGTTAGTCATTCCTGTTGAAAGCCTTCCCATTTCCTAAATAAATATCCCGCCTTAAACCCGAACGATTTGTTCTTGTAGTATTTTATAGTTAGCAGTCAACCAATCTAAAGGCTGAGCGACAGTAGAAATTACAATACAGTATATGGCTCGAACATGTACAATGTGATTCGTTTTCTTTAATATGATTGAATAGTAAACATTATAAGTAAAGCGCTTCAAAAAGACCAATCGTCATGAATCGTTCTATCCAGATACATATTAAAACCAAGCATTTGCGATGAATTTTGTACAAATTGATGCAAAAATTTTAATATCGAATGTATCATGCCGAAAGTAGATCCCTTGCTAATAGTGTTCTGCATCGTACTGAGAAATCACTCAAATGAATGGACTTTTCCATTTTTAATAAAATTGTTTTGTCCGGGATCAAGCATCCATTTCATGCCCGTAGTAGATCCCTTGCTAATGGCGTTCTACATCGCACTGAGAAGTCACTCAAATGAATGGACTTCTCTATTCTTAATAAGATTGTTTTGTCCAGGGATCAAGCATCCATTTCATGCTGAAAGTAGATCCCTTGCTAATAGTGTTCTACATTGTACTGAGAAGTCACTCAAACGAATGGACTTCTCTATTCTTAATAAGATTGTTTTATCAAGGGATCAAGCATCCATTTCATGCTGAAAGTAGATCCTTGCTAGCAGTATTCTGCATCGTAGTGAGAAGTCGCTCTTGGGAACTAGCTTTGATCGTTGTACGATCAAATTGGAGTTTTAGCGGATTTTAGGGGTACTTCAGAGTACTTGGCAGAGCTCTACTTGCTAGGCGATGAAAACTCAGTATGGAAACGATCTTGAGGTTAAGGCATGAACTGCTGTATTCCAAATGGGATTGAATTGTCCATGGATCGAGCATCCATTTGATGATGAAAGTCGATTGAACTCTGACTTACAGTATCGAAAATCATAATATCTCCTTCATCGATCTACGGTGGAAGCTTGACTAATGCAGATACGAGCGCGTTTGATGGGAAGAGGTAGAGACTATTTGAAGAAACCTTAGGAGCAACGGCTTCAATTCGTTGTCCAGGGAACCCTCTATAGGTAGTTAGAATAGAGTTTACTAGACGTTTTACTATAAAGGCTATAGGGATTAGGGGTTGCATAGATACTTTTTAGATAGCTATCCGTCTTAACATCCAATGCCGCTTCCCGTAGGTATCATTCGACATTGGACTAGCACAGGCTGTCGTACACTATCACATCGACGATAAAACAAGTACAAGAGTACGTCATGTGTTTTGTTGATTTTCTTCCAGCTAAATGTTGTTGAGTCACCATTCGTCCTGGATTATGTACAGAAGGGCGTTCCACAGCATTTGCTGGTGACCATATACACATGGCTAACCATGGTGGAACGCCCTAATGGACAGTATATGAGAGCACACCACCACAGGAAAGACCGTAAGAAAACACACAACCTGTCGTTCAAGAACATCGAACACGGAACTGCCTTGAAACATTTTTGATCGCTTTTGCAAATGGTTCAAGTCAGCGTAGCCTCTGCTCTCCCTTCGTAGATATTCGATAAGAAGTAAAGAGAAAGCATACTGTACGACGTTATGGTATAGACTAGAGAAAATGACTGGCAGTTGGGTAAACATTATTTTGCCGTCCTTTTCTTGGCCAAAATCAGCATTAGGTCTGCCGATAACAAGTTTATTTATTTTTTTTTCTACTGATTAAATAAAAAAATAAACTTTTATTCACCGACCGTGACATGTTGATAAGTTAGCGGTAGGGTTACCAATCAAGAATGCAAAGTAGCAAGGTCCAGTAGTTGTTATTCTCTTACTGAATTTAAATTTTCATGCAATTGGCATTTTTCACTCATTCTTGTTCGATGACCATCTGAGTGCAAGATGCGTTGGTCAACTTACCTTCAGATCTTTTGTGTCGCTTTAGGTAAGACGTTATTGTTCAAGTAGGAGAAAAAATAGAATTCCTGATGAAAAGTGGATATAGTCTTTTCCTGTAATTGTTAATGTCAATCTCGATCTTGCGATAGTCAATGGCCATCACTACAAATTGTCATCAAAATGAATTTTAGGAAAACTTGCCTAGTTTCGATTAGTGACTTTGGAAGTTACGATTAGAAATAAAATGTTTCATGAAATGACAGTTATTGTAATACGAGTACAATTGAAATACCAAATGTTTTACTGGTTATAACTTTGGATTCTATTTCAATACTTTATTAGTATTTGTGGTCGGCGCTCAAGGAGATGCTGCCAAGCCAGAGTGCAGTCAAAATCAGGTAATTTTTGCTAATGTTGACCTAATTAAGTTACTATGAATTGTTATACAGTAGTTTATTTTCTAATGTCGACATTGTGCAGGATATGTCCGGCAATTTCGTTTTTTTTCTGAATACGTTTCAAGTATACTGTGTATTTTATGCCTTGGCAGAGCACATGCATTCCTATAAGAATTCGTTAATTTTGATGTACTGTATGGCTACTAGACAATCATTCAATTTTTAGTCTGGACAAATTCGATGTTCGCATTTGATATAGGAATTATTTCACCAATTTATATCGCACACGTGATAGGTATTTATGTGCATCGAAGCCAACTGGTTTTTAAGCCTCTCAAAGGCTTATGGATAGCAAGCTACCTTAACGTATCGTAGATTGATCTGCTAATACTTGATGCACAAATAATTGATGCTCTCTGTTGCAAATTTCCGTAAACTATTGATCTGCCATATACTAATCCAAACATACTTAACTGCTCATTTGTCCTAAAATAGTTTAATTTTGACATTTAATTCTTGTGTTATTGAATGTATTTTAGCCACAAGGTACCGATGACAGATTGAAAACTTTGCGTAGTCATCTAGCGCAAGACAGTAATAACATTCATGCATACATCATTCCTGCTGGTGATGCCCATCAGGTACGTTCATAAGATATACGAGTATATCTCCATCAAGGAAACTATCTGCGCCAAATAAACATGCTTAAAAAGCTCAAAGTACTTCGATAGATTCTATTTACATCAGGCCTAATAGTCAACTGTAATCATAGTCACCAGTAAAAGTGAGATTTTGCAAGAATACATCATCCATAATTGTCAATGACAGCCTACTGAATACTTGAAATCGATTGATCATATTGAATAACCCATCATCCTTTATATAGAGCGAATACATAGCTCCTTATTCCATGAGAAGGAAATTTATCTCTGGTTTTACTGGCTCGGCAGGTAAATTCTCCGCCAGTTTTTAGACTGTATGTCGATCCCTATAAGTGTGGTATAACAGCAAAATAAATATGTATATAGTGCAATGTGACAGTGATAATTGTGTTATTATTATATATACAATATAAAAGAAAACTAAAAATGGAAAAAAACACACAGGCTGTAGAACCTTAATTTGATTATGCATTCTATCGCCATGATAAGGTACGGCCATTGTTACCAGAACTAAAGCCGCTCTATGGACAGATGGACGCTATTTCCTTCAGGGAGCGGATGAATTAGATTGTAATTGGATTTTAATGAAAGCTGGTATGATTATAATTTTACTTTTTAAATCTCAATTTATCGTTTAGCTAGTGAGCTTTTTACCAATTATTTATGCAAAAGGTTTCAGTGCAGCAAGTTCTTGCATTGAAGATATGAATAGAATAACAAATAAATGCAGAGGTGTCTTTATTAAATGAACTATTGCTTATTATCTTTCATTCATAATTAAGGCTTACCGACTACCCCCAGTCAGACTACCTGGTTAAATCAGGTATTAAAATATCTTTAATTATTGTTTGACTACTATCTAATTCAGTAAATATTGCATAATAGAGAACTATAGCTTGATATGCGGTTCAGAATACTTAAAGTGGATTGATGTAAATTGTTTTGTATGACAGTAGCTTTGGCAAATAATAATTGAATATTCAAATTTACGATCATAAGTTAATACAATTTCAGAACATTTAGTCATTTAATAATTTATTTAAAATATTTGCGGCTAGTATTGTACTTTATGCAGTTGCCTAACTAGTTATATAGAAAGTATACTCTATTTTAGAAGGATTAATTTTAATTATCTCTCTTTTCAGGAATTGCCAGCCGGTGCTAATGTAGGAGCTGATCCTTTCCTATTATCTATCAGTAAGTGTCCTGTTTTTAAGTCTACTCTTCAGGCTCAATCGATATAGGCAGTATAATACTGTACTTGAATCATTTTGAAGTTTGCGATAGTATAGTTATCATTATTTGATGCAGATATTGCTTAACAATAGTGTACCTTACTGAAGTTGTAACAGATGTTATTTCTTGGCTTTGTATGCTCCCGCAATTAAAAACTAAGCTATGAATTCTTTATGTTATGATTATGATAGATTCATGGTCATCATATGAAAAGGTGAAACTACATTGAAACTTTACGATCGTTTTCTTCGGCTATATATAATCAGATTCAAGTTCTGCTGTCCTTATCCAATATTTTTTACTTTAATTCCGATCTGTAGGCCTTGGCTACTGCAGGACATAAAATGATCCCAATAAGTGAAAATTTGGTTGACAAAGTGTGGCTTGATAAACCAAGCAGGCCTGATGCAGCCTTAATTGCTATGGAAAATTTTTACACCGGTATAGTGACAAATTATTTTCTTTGCAATAACTTTCATCATCTTCTTCTGTATACGTAATGATATAGCTATCATTAATATCCTCTGTTCATTACCTACAATAAACTTAATCAATGTGTATTGATGTTGATTATATTTGTGGTATTAACTAAATTTTAGGCAGATCGTGGAAATCAAAAATCGATGAATTGCGTGGTCAATTACGAGCTAAAGGAACATTTGCAATTATAGTACCAGCATTGGATAATGTTGCTTGTAAGATAAATTTATAATTTATGCCTTTTTTGATTAAGTCGATTGCCTATGATTAGACAATTGCGAGTGCAATTCATATGTAATCGTCAACATAATGTAGTGGCGGTGCACATACTTATTGCTAGTGCGTACAGTAACAGTAGCAAGCATATTAAGGCTATACACATACGAACAGTAATTATACAGAATGAGTAATGTTCAATGATGTCCTCGTCTTTTCTGAAATAAGTATTTAAAACCTGGGTTTTATGGTATCGTTGAGGATTGTTATCATTGATTGTTTATATTATTATACTATGCAATTACTATAAAACTACTATTGTCCTATTTTATCTGTAACTACGTAGAAAGATCTAATTATAATTACTGGTATTCCAAGTATAATACTTGACTGCTACATTCGATAATAAATTAATTTCACTTAACGGAGTTATCAAATTTTTAATTTAGGGCTATTAAATCTTCGTGGTGATGATGTTCCATATAATCCTGTCTTTTTCTCTTACGTTATTGTAACGCTCGACACCATTGAGTAAGCTAATAGAATGTCAGTTAAATGAGACTGATTTGTTTGAGTTACGAAAGTCCATACGCACTTTATGACCACTGCACCCGAACGTAATCATTGAAATACCACTATCGATATATCCTAATAGATTATACATAGATGAATCAAAGGTCAAACCAGCTAACATTAGAACACATTTGGAATTGGATAATTGTGCTAATCCACATTGTATCACAGTCAAGCCGTACAATCAAATTTTGACTGGCATTAAGGCTATTAGTGATGGAAATCCGACTGGCAAGATCTGGTTAAGTCCCAGAACTTCAAGTTTCGCTATTTATAATCAAGTAAAACCTGTAAGTTTATCTCATAGAGTAGTAAATATCAACGCATATCATTACATTTGTTTTGTAATCTTTAAGTGAGATCGAAGCTGTGTAAAAGTTATTGAAGACTATACGAATTGCTAACAATATTCGTCCTACGTATTTACGTCTTTATAGGAACAACGCTACTTGGAACCATCTCCAATTTCGTTAACAAAAGCTATGAAGAATGACGTTGAAAGACAACGTATGAGGGAAACTTACGTAAGTATAGATACATTAGATACCACTACGTATGTAATAATTAAACTAATTGCATGATGTAGGTTTACATTATCTACTTTTGTATTAACTGGTAATGTATTATCATGCTACTTCAAAACCATGATTTCATAGATCCAAGAATCTGCTCTCTATTGTCAATTTATGGCTTGGCTTAGCAAAGAGGTGTGTTAGTTAAATTCTATTTGTATTATATGAACTTAAAATTTACTTTGTTTTATACACTTTGTTATTACATTTGTGTAATTTAAAATTAATAGAGTTAGAGCACATCATACGATGCAAGCACATAAAAAGGAATTGAAGCTTTGATGGCCAATTGTTAATTTTTCCTTTAAATTTTATAGATCAAATCGAGACCCGCTAATTTAACAGAAATGTCTGCTGATAAGTACATGGAAAATATGCGATGGTAAGACAGTAATTATTGGTTATCTTTTACTACATATGAGTATTTGATTAATATCATCAACGAGTAAATTAATTTACATCCATATTCAGGAACGCCTTCAAAGACTTTAAGGGATTGAGTTTTGCCACGATTTCTGCTGTCGGCCCTAATGGTGCTATCATCCACTACAAGTAAGTAATGTACATTGAATGGAAGTTAATGTCAGTATTTACTTGACATATTTAGATAATTTGTGATTCAATATTTAAGTCGTGGTGGTATTTAAAGTTGAAAAATTTAACCGTAATTATAATTTACATTTGTTTTTGAATGCTTGAATCACAGTTTATGCAATCCAAGTTTATATCGATGGAATTTTTTCAACTTGATGGCTAATGTTATTTTACAATAAATGAGCTAATTAATTATTGTCTATCATTATTCTTAAAAATACTTGTGTATCTTCTTCTTACTAGGGCATCTAAAAAATCCGATACAAAATTAGACCCTGATCAGATCTACTTATTAGATGCTGGTGGCCAATACCTGTTAGTAATAACAGCTAGCTATATAGTAGTCATTTTTGAAATATTGATTTAAAAATTAGAATGTGATGTCTTTATCTGCAGTGGAATGATGCTATATTTAAAACTTGTATTTGACAATCAGTCTAATATTATATATTTTCAATCCCTAGCGGTGGTACTACTGACACCACAAGAACTTGGAAATTTACGCCTGGAACAGCATACGAAAGGGTAAGCATCTATTATGACGATCTTTTTATCGTTAACGATTCTAGAGATCGAATCAAGTAGATAACTATTTATCACGTGAAAGTAGAATAATTCTTTTTTGTGGCCTGGGATTTAGGAATGCTTTACTCGAGTTTTAATGGGCCAAATCGATTTAGCTCGAGCAGTTTGGCCAGAAGGTACACATGGCCGAGTTATTGATATTTTTGCCCGCCAACCTCTCTACCAAGCAGGCCTGCAATACAGGCACGGTACTGGACATGGTATCGGAATTTTCTTAAACGTTCATGAAGGTTAGTATACCCTTAACTTTAAAATTGTTCATCAATAAACTACCATATAGTGTTATTCTGAAAGTGATACTCATCAGCATCCTAATCTAACGTACATATTTGACAATAAATAAACTGAATACGCCTCGCTCTAGGTCCTGGACGTATTGCACCTGGTGTCCCACGGTATTACGAAAAACCATTATCACCCGGCATGTTCTTTTCAGACGGTAAGGAATCTAAATTTGATTTTCATGTATAGTTCATGCCTGAAGTTTGTCCTCGATTTAATTATTAAGGTGCTGCTCTAGTAATTAAAATTACTCTGTAATGTTTTTTATCAGAACCTGGATATTATGAAGCAGGTAAATTTGGCATCCGATTGGAAACTGTCGTTATGGTTAAAAAAGCAAAGACTCCTGTAAGTTGATATAGTGCTATAATGTACATATGCATGCATGCAATTTAATGTCAGCAATGTTTGTATTAATTAAAAAAATATCGTAAGCGAGTATCAGATCCACTTTAAAAGGCTAGAAAACAATTTATGGGATATAGTCCTATATGCAACGTTATGACTAATTACAGTATATGATAATTTAATTTATCAAAAGATTGTATAAATTTATTTTGGGTGTAAGTGACTGGTATTTTATTTTTTAGTATAATTATGAAGGAATGCAATTCTTGGACTTTGAAGTTATTACTTTTGTAAGTTTGTTAAATACTGGATAGTAGTTGCGTGTAGCGTTAACTGAGATAAAATATCTTGTAAGGTGTTGTTCCTACTTATAATATGCTCAAGTATTAATAAAGCTATAGTTAAAGGTATATTTAGCGTAAAAATTAGAGTTTATGCTTGCTATTTTTTTAGGTTCCAATTGATATCATCAATTTAATAGACCTTAAATTGATGAGCAAAGAACAGGTTAGATTCAACGGTTATTATGTTGGATGATTGGTAACGTTAAAATATGTATAATATGTATTCAATGTTTTTGTGTCTATTAACTTGAAAATATAGAGAGTCTGGTTGAACAAGTACAACTCAGATATTCGCACTAAAGTTGGCCCTTATTTGAAGGAACGTAAATGGGATGAAGGTTACAACTGGATGTTGGAATACACTAAACCTATTCCAATTACCGATGAACAGCCTCCTAACGGCAACAGCGCTTATAGTTCTTCTAATACTGTAGCTATTGCTTTAGTTACTGCCACTTTGATGATGATTGTTAACTATTTCAATCGCCACTAATGCAGGTGTAAATCGAATCAAATCTTAAATGTAGCTTCCTCTACTTTGTGTGATGATTTTATATGTTATCGTTTAATATAATGTTAATTTTTGTTTGTTTGTCATCTTAAGTTCGTATTCCAAATGTGTGTATTAACTGTTAAGAGTCGAATAAAAAGATGATATATTGATCAATGGTAATTTACTTGAAGCGCAATTAATTCGCGTCGGTGGCGACGGTTAATCGCTTATAATTCTATCAAAAGGCGATAGTACAATACTATACTCATTACGGACATTTTCACTGACTGCAATACACCAAATGGGAGTAGCGATAGCGTAATGCTTTTCCACGATATTACGCTAAATTCGTTATGCATTACGTGTATAGTTACTACAGTTACTAAAGTCCATTTTCCAGTATAATTAAGCGAGATTGTATCAATAATTTTATTACATCCTTGATATTATCACTGCCTGTACATTTGTAACTAGAGTTTCAAATTTACATTCATTCTTATCGCAAAACGTTATGATTGTAGTCAAATTGTCAATACGTACTTAATATAATTCGAAAGTTAGAACAGTTTCGATCTTTCAATAGAACAAAAAATTATTTACAATCTTTAGATTAGGCATAAGAATAGAACCAAAGTAATTGCGTCAAATTAGCGTTCGTAGGATATAGTAGCTCATGGATACATCAAATTGTACTGATGGTGCAGCAAATGAAAATGAATTCACAAATACTGTGTGAATGTAACAGTGAATGCGAACTAAAATTACTACGTAGCAAAAATTTCATGACATAGCCAGATGTAAGAATAATGAGTCAATTTACGTAATAGTATATTTCTCTTTATATCAATTAATTACCCAAATGTTCATATAAATTTATGGTAGTAATACTGAATGAATAAATTCATTATAAAATCAAGAGAATTATAAAGCACATGCAACGCTGGGTAAAATTAAATTTTGAGTATATTCGTACATCATACCCAGAGCTTTTCTATAGACCGAGTTCCAACTTGCTGCATAATTTCCGTAGTCAAATCTTTCATTTGTTGATGAATGGCATCTATGGACTGACTGGCATCCAAGGTCTACATTGAGATAGAGTAAAAATTCCAGTTTATGACAATCAAACAAGCAACTAGAGATTGGTCTCTTACGATAAATTTAAAAATTTTTTAATTTTAACGGTATAAATTGATGTCTCGGCTTACACAAAAGTGGTTTACTACAATACTTGTGTCAGAAATTACTTGTATGTTAAAGTATTAAATTTAGACCGTACGGCCTATGTAGTCACGCTTCATAATTGTGCAATGTATCGGCTAAAGGACGCAGGCATAGCATAGAACACAGTTGATGCTAGACTATCGATATTAACCATTTGACTAGGTCAAGGTAGAGAAAGGTATGTGATTTAGCTATCGACTGGAGCGCCAGGAGCACTACTATCGGAAGATTACTAATGCATGATAATTCATCTATACTACAGAAGTTTACATTTGATTAATTAGAGTTTAAGGCATCCATCCATTTCGGCCGATCATTAATTGCAATTACTTGACTACACCAGCCAGAACATAATTATCTATATCAAACTTCCATAGCTTTATTACTACCGAATAATTGATAACCTTCTCCAACGACATCTTAAATATCGAAGTGCTGATCATATAAGTAAAGTGCTTGTAACACATTAGATAGTAATATAGCGGCATAAGCACAAAAGTAGGAACAATCTTTATTATTAATTAGTTACCGTCCAGTTTTTCGTCATTAACTTTTCAAAGTTTTCAACCGCACGTTTTTGAAATTGCGTACTTTCGTATCGTTCTGTCCCATACTGGTCGCGTGAGGTCGCCTGATCAACTGGCAAGGTTAAATAAATGACCAAATCAGGTGCGGGGATTCCAGTATCACTTTGCTTGCACCATTCAATATCAAAACCCTACGATATTATAATTTTACGAAAAGTAATAATCATTTAGTAGTGTAGTTTATAAAATATAATATTCTAAAACTGCTTTTAATATCTTGAAAGCATAGTCCGTAAGTTATGTTTACGACGTTTTCTTACATAAATCAATCAGAAAATGAAATCTATACTTTATACCTATTAAATTGAAGGCCTTGACAATATTGAAAGTAAATGTATCTATTCATGACTAAATATCTGTAACAGGGAATTCTTTTCTACCACATTATTTGAAGGAATATCGATCATGCATTCTTTCTTGAAAATTTAATATTTAAACCTACTAAGCAATCTTCAGGCGTCTCAGCAGCTTCTTTCAAAACTGTCAATATTAGGTACTTTAATGTAACTACCACGATTTTATAAGAGATTAAAAATTGAAGCTATAATCTGGAGGAAACGTCTCCTACAGGAGCAATTCTACTTGATTTTAGCCGTGGGAAAGTGTTAATGCTACGAGAGTGTATTACTGAATCTGAATTTTGATGTAGAAGGGACACTGCCATTAACAACTATAAGCGATACGTATACAACACGATTGTCCAAGACAACTAAAATCATTGCATATCGTAGCGAAAACATATACTGCATCGCACATCTGATGATACTACGAACCCAGCAGGCCAGCGTTTAATTACTTATAGCCAAGGTCGGTAAATTAGTTCTATACTAAAGTCGTAATCTTGTTATCCTTACTATAACACGATAGAGTCAATAAGATTTTAGTTTCGGGATGGGAAATGTGGTACTGTACATTAAGATTTTGGATAACTTGACAGTTTATTTTAGATAAATAGCCGACGTTGACTAATTCTAATAATAGTGTTGACGAACTGAAGGAAAGCAAACAACTTACCCTTTTAGCAGATGTGTAAGCAACACCAGAAAAGGCGTAGCGATCGACTACTAGAGTTATGCCATTTTCTAAGCGTTCAATGATGCTTGGCCTGTTCATAAGGTGATGATATGGAATCATTATTAAAGGAAGTATAAGAATGGACAAATTATTCTAGAGCGGCGGCTTTAATGTTCTTCAAGTATCACTCATCCGATAACTTTCTATGAAATACTCACTTTTACTATCGTCATACCTACCATTATCATGATTATTGATTGACAATCATAAAACAAGCCATCATTTAGCATGCCATCGTCAAATTTTGTCTCAATTGATACTTACACTTTCTCCCATCGATTAGCCGAAAAGATCAAGTGGATGGCATGATCTTCCAAATCGAGAGTTTTCTGCAAGTAGCTACCTGCTAATTTGCCGATAGGTGTGGTACGATCTATATGGATTACAATAGTGATCAAGGAAAAGAAGTAAGCGATTATTATTCAAGTCAATAGCATTCCCATCCATATGAATGAAATAAACATGATTGTAGAACATCATCAGGTACCGGTGGTCTATGCTGAAAATGACGTAGGATACAAGTATCTATCCACTAAACATGATACTAGCTTAAGCATAAGACAGTAGAATACTCGTATACTAGAATGTTGAAAATGTATCGTTTCCCTTTTAAGACGATTAAATTGCTATGATACTAATCGCTCTTCCATTCATCGTCGATCATTCATACAAGACTTATGACGGTATGTCCTATCCAATAACAGCTATGGAGTCAACACAAACAGTTTATTTCGTAGATGACTGCTCTCAACATTAATATAGGCTTTAATGAATCAAGATGGATATGACAGTATGATACCTGGAAATTTGACTAATTCTGCTTGTTTGCCATCAGCAAGAAGGGCATCGACCAGCATTTTGGATTGGGTCGATTTACCAGTTCGATCGCCACCTTCAATAATGATTAATGCTCCTCTATTGCGATCGGTCGCCATAGTTTGAGTGGTTAGCCAGCGTCCAGAAAAATAACGATGGTAGTGATAATGGCAGTAATAGTTAGGCCAAAAAGACGCCAAAGAGATGATCGGAAATCGGTTTGCAAGGCCAAAAAAGGAGCGCTAATCGACGCATATATGGCGGTGGTCCTTAAAATATTGGTCTGAATATTGAAATTGGCGGGAAGACGATAGTTGCCTACGTGCCCTCGAGAGGGAGTGGCCGGTCGACAATCCAGTCAAAGTACGCAATCATTATCCTACGAGTATAGGAAAACACCTGGATTCAGCCACGAAAATTGGTTAAAAAGCCAGAGGAACGGCCCGTGGTCGTTTTATGTACTCCCATACGAAATGGGCAAATAGACTCTTTGCTGGTCATTTCAGCTGTGTTCTACACCTGCAAGCGTATGCATACTGTATAATACCAGAGACTGCCGAGACCACCTGATGCCCGTGTTTCGGACCACACCATGCACAGACGGACAGACTTCCCGAGACTCAAGGACGGAAATGAGGCCCAAAATGCCGGAAATATCGCAAAAATTAGTTTACTTTCAGTAGGGATCTTCCGTAGACCTGAGAAAACTTCGGTTCTACTAATGGAAGAACAGAAATGACGTTCGATAACTGCTTTTAAGCAGAACCTTGTAAAATAGAATGCATTTCAATGTAATATGACTTCATTTAGAAAATGAAGTCAGCTCTAGAATTGAGCTTTAAATGACATTATAACCAAGGGAAGAAAGTGTTTGCAATACGTGCGATGCAGTTGAAATAACCAATAAAATAATCATCCTCCACATTTTAGTAGAGTGAACGACCGTTTCTCGTTTCTCTCTTTCTTTTTAGTAGTCCCTAACCATGCCAGGGACTACTAAACTACAATACAGTACTAAAAGATACTGTAGAGAAGAGAGTGGGACTGTCGGCTTTCCTTGCCAAAATGTGAAAAGTGACTATTTTTCTCATCATTTTAGCTGCGCTGTACTGTTGACACTCACTCTAGTTGACAGCTACCCTCCGAAGTAGCACAACAGATACCAAGTTAGTTCCGTACGGCCCCAATCTTCTAATATATCAAAAGTGACCAGCAAATTGGTCAGCCTTGCTATAGCTTGCAATGAAAATCGTTGGCAGTACCTCTCGCTTTCCTTTTCTTTTATTCAATTTTCTAAGGCAAACTTTGGCATTCATGAAAAATTGCGAAGCGTACATAATTTCCATTTGTGCCTTCATGCAATGTTCTATTCTGATTGAATCTTCATAGTTTAAAGCTCTTCTGATGCCAAGGCGATAAGCTTTAATTCCGAATATTTTATTTAGGGCACCAGATAGGTTACTGTTATTTTAGCGCGATTAACTAACTTAAATAGCGACAGTATTGACTTTAATATAGGAGATTCTATATTGGTAGAGATATCTCTTCTGTCATGATGATTGTAATGAAGTAGTCGACTAAAAGCGTATGAGCAATGTAATTAGTATTACGTATGCCACATTTGGAAAGATCGATGATATTATATGGTACAATGATATTTGCAGGAGCTCCTATTGTATTAATTAGCTAAACTATAGTAACTTGTAAGATGGTAGATGATGATTTACCAGTTGTATATAAAGTGAGGCCTTTCTGTAGTTTACTAGTTTTTATCCTCCGTTAACATTAGAATCCCGCTCTCCCTCGCCTTGTAGTTAGCGTTTATACCCTCCTTAGGGCTGTTTATGCTTTCTACGATAGAAAATAAGGAAGCTAAGTACTCTATCGTAATACGTAGGCCATATTATGTGATACTGTATACAGCAATCTCTTCATAGGAGTAGTAAAAGTCACGAAAACAGATACTAGGTATTAGTTGCTGTAGTCGCGCACTATATTAAAACTTGCACATAATTATTGTTATTAGCTGAAATCATTACAGTTGTGCATGTCATAAGCTACTAGTGCTGTAGTTAGCAAGAATTATTTTCATCACGCTGCATAACATCTGGAGCAGCAGCCATACGTACCTCTAGTAAAGTTCTCATCAAGTAGTACAGAAAATAAGAACTTCATTGTCCGATTTGCTAATAAGCTAATAAAGACATAGTTAAGGCAGAGGGGTTCATCGTGTTGTATGTAGGAATTAATCGATTTAGTATGAGAAGCAAGGTGCTATATCGAATTTGGCAGAGTAGGATACTTTAGGTATAAAGCATTGAGGTATTTATATTTAGACGGACATAAACAAAGCGATGTCTAGAACTCGCTCTAGCTCATTGGTGGAACTATATGTTGTGATAGGATATTATTTATAGAAATTTTGTTTCATATTAACCAAATGAATAATTAGGTCAAATTCAATTGCCGGTGTATCAGCGGCCTTGATGACAACGATAAAAGCCGGTCAGAAATTTTGCTTTTAATGTGTTCTTTCTACCTTACTTGGGTGAAAGGGATGATAAATGTAAAGATTATTATTCTACTATGAACCAATTACTTATAACTTTTTGAGTACAGTAGTATATAATTATATATATATTGGAAATGAAATAAAGAATTAATTTTTGAAGAAAGGAGCTCAGCTTGGATTACTACAAGAAACGCTATTATCCTGCTTAACGGTAAATAATATTAAAATTGTAGCTGCATTCATTGAAAACTTAACGACAGTGTGATAAGTTACCGAACGGTGAATGATTGCATTTTTACATCACTTGCATGAAAATTTAAGCAGGAAATTACCTCCCAGTGCTGTATAAAACTAAGAATAACTGCTTGCAACATCGTTATCAAGGCTACAGAATTAATTTATCATGATTCCTAAGAAAATGAATGTAAAATAGGAGACTATATTATACACTTATTTGCAGAGGATGGAATTTCGTGGCAACGATTACATCACATTGGGAGTAAACAACAAATACAACACATATTTCTATCTTGATCCACAGAGTACTGCAAGCAACTCAAAATCAATCATCCATGTGTCATAATCAAACCTACACCCAATGAGACTAGGTATACATGCCATTTACTGTTTGCGTCATCATGGATTCAGACAGGTTTTCACTTCTATTATATTTCCAGCAGGGATTTTGAAATAGAGAACACAAGCAGCAAATCACTTTTGAAATCCTAGTCAAAAGCAGTAAAGTTTTAAAACTCAGCAATAAATCGATAAAATCACATCAGTTTATTGATACTGTAGCCTATAAATAATATATAAACAAGTCTGGTATATATCTAGTAACAAGAATGAAAGTAATACCGATATTAGCCTTGAGAGGAGTGGAGAATAAAAGATAGATTACGAAGGGATTCTCGCTGCCTAGTAACATTATTTGCCTAGACATCGAATGTTCGCATAGTACTATTTATGAACTCCAAAAGTAACTGAGGATTATTCGTCGATCAAATTGTGTAAATTATTTCTCATATACAGTAGTTGTTAATTGATTGTCAACTACAGTTGAAATCAGTATATACTACAGCATGCCTATTGCAATGTGCCAGTATCGACAGTGGTAGTCCACGATACGGCTTATAATAAAGTATTGATTTCAAAGCAATTTTTATAATATACCGTACTAAAGAAGAAAATTAGCCTTAAATTTGTCATGGATTATAGTAATTGAAATAATATCTTAGTCTGTGAAAGTGAGTTAGGCTATACGTCATATATATTGCAGTATATAAGTGAGATCATTAATATGATCATTAGATAAATCATTTACAGCACATTGTTTGCTTGCGTATAACTTTTGCTACTATTGAATTGATTACCTCTAACCCTAATCTAATCTGAAATATTATTCTATGATTTATGCATCTACTTCAGAGGGATATGATCTTACCTAGATCCCGGATATCATGCAATTTGTATGGTAGAGGATCCACAGCAGTCATCTTTCCAAGATGAAAGCTGCTTAAAAATTCGCTGCATGCTGGGAAGTTCTCCTGGCTTGAGCAAAATCTTCAGTTCCTAAAATCTGTATTTTATTCATAATTAGTCGTTTAGTTAAAAAATAACATCAGGCTATTACAGAAAGTGATAGACAAGTACATCGCTAATATCCTATTGATTCGATTTTTTGAAATGCCAATTTATGGTTCCAAGAAAGCGAGGTAGCTTAAACTCTATACAACATATTATTCTAGTAACTAATGGAAGGATTGAAAAGCATCTACGTTATTGTCAGCTTACGCGTATTTTTTGCTTTCGTGAATTTATTTGTTGCAATCGTAATACTTAATTGAGTAAATAGAATTAGAAGATTCAGGATACGAATTTACTTATCAAATTATAGTCGCAATGTGTGTTAACAGCAGCCAATGCTAACAGAACCATTCTTGTTTCATTGTGATTTCAATATCATGGATTGCAATCTTTTAACCAGAGGCATAAACATAAACTACTTGCTCGTAAATTATTATCAGAATTGCAAATTCTCACATTTAATATACCTGTAACGATTATATTAACACAAAAAGAGGAGGAAGGGAAAGCATATGCATGATCATTTAGTCTATGATAGAATTACTAAGTTTAAAGTTGCCTATTCATTTGTAGCGGTATTGTGAGCAGTCTTAATGCCTATTCTGCATTCAGGAAGGATATCAATTTTTAGGACGAAAAAAGACAAAAATGTGGTCAAGATGAACAGGAATATAAATTATTTAACTTTAACTTCGATTCGATAGACGGTAATCATCGTGCACATGCTACGAAACAAACAAGTTTAAATTATTTCCTTTCAGTAATTAATGTCAATAGAATCATACAAAAATCCAGCACAATATCCGTATCATAAGCATTAAATGTCCTAAGCTACGAATAGTTAAAAGTACGAAAGGTTATGCGTTATTTATTTTGCTTATATTGTAATGATTGTTATAGTAACCGTATTATACAATGAAAAGTGTATAGTAGTTGGGATATAGTATTGCAAAAGTGTAACAAATATTCATCAGAAGACAAGGTATTTTATTCCTGATAGAATTAGTGATATTTTTGTATATTTTGTATAGTACTATTTATCAGATTTGCACAACATGATGTAACCATGCATTAATCCCCGAAAATACTTATATATGCCAAGGTAAGTCCAGATTCTTCGGTTATCATGGATTACTCTCCTGACAAAGAATAAGGTAAAGTATGCTGCTCTTCTAGGTTGCTATTGTCAACTACTATTTTAGCTTAGATCTAGAACTACCCTTCTAAACTGCAATCACACAGAAAAACTTCACAACGTCGAGCTACTTCTACTTTAACGAATACGACCAATACTAAATACTCGGGCTACAAAAACAATTACTAACGGCCAACATTCGCAATTACGAGTCAATGACAAAAGTTTTAGTCGACCTAATCTCTATATAGGCAAAAATCAAATACTTAATCTATACTACTCTTGAAGCTGCATTTGAACCGTGACAACGGCATATAAATGCTTCATTTAAATCTATGAAAATTATTACAGGCTTTTTTGCTCCTTACAATAGATTATTTTCCAATAAGGCCTTCAAAATTTAATATATGGATTAGCAATTAATGGGATAAATTACCGATCATGAATTCTTTTAAATCTTTAATTTCTTCCTCGAAGGCAGTACTATCCACTTTTCAGCTATCTTCGTCATAGTTGCTGTCTTTCCTTTTGCTGCGCTATTAGCAAGGCTTATTATTCCCGGTTTATGTATCGAATAGATTTAATTGAAATCCGGAGGTTGCTAAAGTTCTAATTGAGCGTATATTAAGATATATTGTAAAATTAGGTATCCAAGCCAAGATCATGCCAACAGATTAAAGCGTATGGTGGACCCTGAGTAATGGATATTATGGGGTTTATGATGACTATAATCGACCATTTATGACATTTTGTGATTTTTGGTCTGATCCAGGATATGTACGGACTCTAATTGAATCGCTATCTCGAGAAAATGCTAGAAAGAATAGCTATCGTCTAAATTTCTGTTATAATGTTCAACAACAGCTTGTTCATTAATTGGTTAGAAAATCTGCTGGATAAATCTACCATGATGACCCTCGTTAACTTAACAGGGACAACGCATATTTGGGTTATATACAATTTTAATGCCGATAATTGACTTGGGTTGTCGAATCGTAGAAATTATTTGCGCATTGCATTTTGTCAGTACCCTAAATTTTAGAAACACTGGCCATACTGACCAGTCGTACTGTACTATCATAGATTATATTAGCATTCGTGGCTACAGATGCCAACAATGTAGTATTATTCTGATATTCGATGAAGAAATCAACTACTGTATGCATATTCAGACCCAATAAGCAAAACTAATATATGACAAATGGGTCGTTCTTGATGACAATGAACCTTGGGAAAATAACTTTTTTGATTATTTACACTATAATCCAAACTTCTCTTGCTCTTCTGCAAATTACACGACGAGTTATTGGATCAGTGGTGTATATATACCCCACTACTTTATAGTAACCAGGCTATCATTATCTCTATTTTCATTTCCTGACGAGGCAGGAAAAAATCTTAGTGTATCATTTCATGCAATCAATAGCATGATTTGAAATAACTTATATAAGCAATCATGACTATTATAGGGATGTTTATTTTACGTATACTCCCCAGGAATATTTAACACTAGAAATTAATAATGATGAATTTTGAACCTATGGCTAAATCTAATCTTAACAATATTCGTTTCATTATTTTTTTTTTTAATTATTCTACTTATGTGATGCATCAACAGCTCATTTTTGTCGCCTTGAAACAATAAGACTGCTTTGATATGATATTACATTTTTGAAAATTTTTACGAAATGTATCTGTATTGTAAAATTAAAGTGTTTGCTTTAGAATAACAAAAAGGAAGATGAAAATCGATTTTATTTTATACAGTAAAATTGCGCGTCTTACAAGGATGGTTCAAAGATATGATTATTCAAGTTTTGTCACGTATAATACTGGAATGATTAAGTTCTACTAACTAGCTCTGGTAACTTTGATCATTATTCTTCAACCCATTTTAGGGAGAAATTAGCAGAGGCCTGGCTACTGGATGGCTCAGCTGACAAGATATGTGTAAATAAAGGTTACTAATAAAGTAAAATACTATTGCTAGTGTTTCCATAGCTAATCTGAGGTACCCTTCACTTAATTTTCGCCATCGACATCGCTCGTTATTTTTTATATTTTACTTATTCCCCACTTTAAATTAAATCAATAGTAAACAATTCTTCTTATTTTTTTAACTCTAAAAGATATGAATAACCTTTTAAAGTGTAGATTGATGAGGTTACTTAATTTGTATAGATGATGATAGATTAAAAGAGTTGATGTTAAATTACTATCTGTGATATATACCAATCACGAAATTCCAAATTTTAGAAAAATAAGGGCTTTATTGAATCTTATACAAAGATCAACTACACACAGCTCTACTTTAGCCGAATACTACTACTAAAGACTTCTAGAACGAACTAACAGAATAATCTAAAGTTGCATGCTTTTATACTTTTCGTAGCATTCGCAGCTACAATCCGCATGGCAACCTTTTACCTTATTTTACACATAGTTAAATTATTCTTAGTAAGACTATTCTACTGCGGACCAACATTAATCTGATATGGATACGACTACAGTACTTACGTAGACATTATTCACACCAGCCAAAGTACAATGAATTTCGTGACCGGTATATGTCACAACCGACTATATGTTTCATAAAGACTAGTGCAAACTCCCGTCGCTTTACTGACGGTTTACGATAATGTGCTCATTTAACATCTTTTACGAGGTTCAGTAACTTTATACCGTACCGTATGCTCGGAATTAAGCCGATTTTCATACTAATGAGATATTTGTTAAATTTAAAAGGAAAGGATGACATCGGTATATGAGATGCATATCCTTTATTTTCGATATATAAATCGCAGCTTGACTCATTAATTATTTAATTTTACTTTTTCCTATCTAAAACAAAATCAATAATAAACAATTCTTATTATTTCTCAACCCTAATAGACGTAAATAATCTTTTGCAGGTCTGGATATATGAGGCTATTCAATTTATATGATATTTTGAAAGGTTGATATTAATTTAGTGTTGAGTATATTTTATAGCTTACAAATACACACAATTGACCGAGATTACAGATTTTGTATTTTAATATTAGATAAGATGTTTCAGCTAGTAAATAGGTTAAGGTAGCACATGAAATTAAGCTGATTTGCATATTAAAAGATCTTTGCTATCTTTAAAAGAAAAAAATATTAAGATTTTATCCTTGTTAACGATTAATATCGGAATATGGATGAAAAATTTCAAATTCAATTTTGAAGCATATACTATAATCGATGTCATATCAGTATTTGATCCTGATCAATTTAAAAATTACATACGTGCCCAAATAGTTAAAAAATCTATTATTTTTTATTAAGGTAGTACGCAATTTAATTATATAAATATCTAAAATTGATTAATTTTTAGTAAAATTGATCAGTGCATTTATTTGGTAGAAATAGAAATATTAGCTAGAAAATAAAACAATATTATTGGGTATTTCTAGCCATACAACTGCTTTAAAGTCTAGAAATATTGATACCTATGTGGTATGATATTAAATATTTGATTTAAATTTGACCTTTGAAGGGATTCATTTTAGTATTTAGTGTATACTAACTACAGTAAATAATTAACTAGCAAGGTTGTAATGAAAGATTATCTACAAAATTCATGTTCTGTACCATGAAAGACTGCATTCAGCGCTATTATTGGACAAGTAAGTGGATTTGAAAGTTTAGAATTTACCATAATTATTATGGAATGGCTCGATATTATAAACGAGTCTGTCGTGCATTAAGGTTTCACTATTAATAAATAAAATTAATGATTAATGAAGTGAACGTTTAGAATTGTATGAAATTTATCGCATTCAATACTAGACATGCCTATAATTATGCTGGCATGTTCTGTATTGCGTAAAGGTAGATGATCAGGTGAGGCAACGATTAAAGTCCAATCGATAAATAAATAAGAGCATGTAAATGTTAGTAACAGATTAAAATAATTTTCGTTGGCAAGAAAAGAAATATGAAAGATTTTGTTTTAAGGAATACCTACTGTGATATTAGTAGAAGCCTTGATTATTATAAAGATTTGTAAGCTTACATAGTCATAAATTGCAGCTGATGTGACCTGGGAATTTTGATCGTTAGTGTTTTGATTGTAGACAAGTTTGGTACTTTAGCAGCTGTGTTCTGCTTCTACTATTAGTTTTTGAAAATAACAGTCTGTTATAGAATTATCTTTTTATAGCATAGACTATACCAACTTGTAAGTACTTATATGATAGATCAAACTACAAACTGATAAGTTTTACTCAGAATCTATCATAATATTCAATAACTGTGAATTAGAGAAGTAAGCTTCGCGACAGTATTATTCAGTGGATAAATGAAAACTATACATTATACTCGTATAGGCAACTTTTCTAGGAAAAAATGACGTTCTCACTCCCCCCTCCTTGCAAGAGATAAAATTTGAATTAAGAAATCTTTAATTATGTTAAGGCAAGTTAATCGAGTAATAACAATAATGACGTCAACTTGATATTTAAACCTTCAAAAATGATATCAAAAACTGTTCTTAAAATTTTTACGTTATTTGCTAAATACTTTAATTATTAATTAAGGTTAAGTATAAATAAACAAGACAAGAATGACTGTATTTCAATCAGCTTATCAATTTTACGGCAAAGATATAAAAAACTCATTAGAAATATCAATTTGCTTACTTTTATTGGTATTTGTCGCTCTTTCTTATCCATTTTCATTTATTATCATATGATAGTTTCGCAAAATGAAATTTACGGCATTATCATTGGTTTTCTTCATCTTCAGCATAGTACCTTTTACTATACAGGCGGTAAGTAATTTAATCGATTGATATCCGCATAAACTGCTTTTTTATTCTGTTTCAAAAAGGTTGTTATAATCGCTTATTAATTTTTTGGGGAAAATTTTTTATTTTAACAATTAGACTACCAATGCGAAATCTTGCCTACAGGCTAAAGATATAAATGGAGTTAGCGAAAATGGTTTCTATATCCTATACGATAACCAATATCGACCGTTTATCACATTTTGTGATTTCAATTCTGATAAAGGATTTATTTGGACACTTATTGAGTCATTTTCCTTGAATAACAGCATGAAAGCCAAATATCGCAAGGGATTTTTTCAGGATTTTCCAACTGTTAGTAGTTTTATTGACTTGCAGGAATTTCGATTAGAGAACTCAGTTATGAAATCGATTGCTGGTGCGCCAGGATCGACCCATTTTCGCACAACATGTAATTTTAACACGAATGACCGCAAAGGAATACAGAATCATCTAGACTATTTGCGTGTATCATTTTGTAATTTTCCCAATTTCTTTAAAAATGTTAACAAAAATACATGTACTAAGGTGGATTATATTAATGTCCAAGGACAATCCTGCAGAGATTGTAGTATTCCAATACATGATGGCGGTAATGAACATCATATGTTAGCTAACATCGACAGATCCCCGGACGATTGTGATCGTTTGAAATTTGGAGGTGCAAAAGGATATGCTTTTGGTGATTACAGGCTTTTAGATTCAAAATTTTCATGTTCAATGGCATCTAATTCGACTACCAATTGGTGGATTGGAGGTGCAGATATGTCGTAAACGTTATCTAGCCCACAGTTAGAATGGAATTGCAGCTGGAAGATTGAGATTCACAATTTAAATCGCCATATGAGGAGCTCTTCCCTGACCTCATAAATATAACATGTGCTAATTTGAAGTACTTAATTAGATTGAATGAAGTCTTTAATATTTTTGATGGTTGATGTTTTATTTTATATATCTGCTGCTAGTTAAATTATAATCAAGAAATAATTATGATATCGAAAATAATGCCCAGAAATTACTTTTATTATTGGGTAATTATTAAGAAACTGCTAGAACAAATACCGTGGCTAAGTGTTGTTACGCATTGTGATTGCAAACATTTCATTAGAGTTGATGTGTTCGATTAAAGCTTTAAGTAGAGCGATTTGGCCATGATTTGAAGGTGGCTGACCAAAGGTTCTTTAAATTTTACCGCAAAAAATTATGAATGTTACAGGTCCACATAGAAAAGTTGCGCGGTTTTTTGGTAAAGATTCTATAGATTCTGAAATTGATTTGATTTTTACTAATAAACGTATCATTCAAAAGTAATAAAATGTTAACAATTGAACTACGACATGTGTGAATAATTATTGTGATACAAATTTTCACGAAGGATATGCGGATGCAGCATCATTTAGCATTTAGATTGTAAATTATTAGCTACGTTTAGTATGATGTAAGGTGCGAGTATCTTGCTCTAATTATTATCAGGCATATTTAGTAATACCTATTATTTACTCGTATTACGCTATATTCGTTAGATTGTGCATTAATGTGATGTATTACTATATACAGTATTTAACTATAGCATATATTGTATAGAATTACTCTTCCTTAAAAAATCTTAAAAGTACAGTATTATACGCGTAGATATTAGATTGCATGCTGTAGCTGATATAGTTTATAGTAATATATAGTATTGTTGCACAACTACAACTTAATCTATATACATAAAAGTAGAAGCGGTTTTTTGTAATAATATTACGACCAAACCTAGAATGGTACTTTAAAAATTTTGAGTGATAACGCTAGGCTAAGCAAATTATGCATATATAGATGCTGTATAAACATTTGTATTTGCAGTAATAGATTTAAACGTTTTGTGGGAAAAACTAGGCTATGCTGGGTTTCGTAGCTAATACTAGCGTATAGAAACTATTCTTCCGTAAGAAATCTGAAATGTACCGTAGATATTACATACATGCTGCCTTTAATGCAGCTTATGATAAAATATTGTTTTAAAGCATATTTGAAATATGTACTTGTTAAGGTGTTGCATTGTCATTAGGATAGTTTAATAAGTACAGTAGTAGCTAGTATGAAGAATATCCATATTTGTAGTGCTAGGTAAGAGAAGTAATGCCTTAACGTGGATATTTGTGATAGTTCATTACACATTTGATATTGATTGTTATTGTGTGATAGATAGCAGTAAGATGATTCAAGTTCTAGTTGGTGATAGTTGAATTAAACAACCTACGAGCTTAGATTAAGATTAAGTATGAGTAAGAGATTCAAATATTTACTGATAGAAAAGCTGTGTAAGGAACATCTCAGTTCGAGATGTTTCTCCTGGTAAGGTATAATAGTAATACTGTTGTTGTTTATAAATTAGACGGTTCTTATATAAACGGCAACATTTGAGTTGAGTGGTTTGGTAAAAAGTTGTAGATGTATCTTTGCTAATAAAAGTTTCATCTTTGCAGTATTTTGCTAAATATGTTTAATGTTAAGTAAAAGGGCGTTTTAAGTCGGTAGCTACTTATAGACTTTTACTGTACGTTACCTTGTCGCAGAAGTGAAATTGTGACAGTACTGTATTAATTAATCCTGCTTAAGAAATCTTAAATATACTGTAGCTATTATATTATATGCTTTCACTTATACTGCTCATAGTAACATATCTCATTAACGTATAATCTTACAAATATGGCGTAATATATAACAGCCCATAACAATATACTGTAATTAAAGATTCTATGTTAGAATCTAGTTGACTATATACTATAGCTAAATGCCATAACTACTAATTTTTATAGTAAAATACAATATTAATGCCCACAATCTAACAAAAATAGCGTAATATACGGTATGTCACTTGAAAGTTGTAATCATAGAGGTTTTCTCTATGGTCATATAGTGATGCCTCCTGCATTTGATTGTATGGATAGCTATATTTGATATGTTTTCTCATAATAGATGTTATCGTGATGCTAATATTAGATGAATACTTACAACTAGCTGCATGTACGATGCTGATGTTGATGCTTTATTCTGTACTACACTTGTACTTTCGAATTGTCAGTAGATGCAGTTGTATAGGATGAATAGTGTTTAAGTATAAGTCTGTTTGTAGCTGCAGCTATAAAATAAGATCGAATATTCCTATGCTAATTGTAGCCGTAAACGTTACAAAAAAAAGCATAATGCATAAAGCTAACACTCCAATCACTCTTACGCAAGACACTTTATATACCCCCTGGGGTAGGTTATTGCGTAAAGGCAGGAATGATTATTCTTGTTCTGCAGTTTCTCAAGTAGGCTAGAGCTTGCCTTCAAAAATTTGTTACTCCTGTACTAATTATTGCGAAACTACTCGTACATTAGCCCATTGCTCTATTATAACAAATAAAGCTACGACAGGGCATTAAAAGTATTTATTTGTAGTTACAATTCTACTATTTTCTAACGAAGTTGGTACTCCGGTCGGGGTCTCACACATTAATCAAAATACCGCACTTACAATTTTCTCGCACTTTTTTACTTCGTCATCATCATTACTTTGCAAACTTATAACCTAGTCATTGAGTTCGCAAGAATTTATATCTGACCTCGATCTATGGCGTTGGAATCATATATCGAAGCTATACGTATAGTACAATATGTAAACTCTGTATAGTATTACAGTATTCATTTATATTTCACAATCATAATAATACCGCCGTGTTGCCGTACAATTATCTTTCATGCACAGCTTACTGTATGACGATATTTAATATTAATTTTACCTTTACTACTGTATGAGTTTAACCTAATACAGAGCAACGATTTGCTGACATGGTAACAACGAAATAAAGTTGTAAGATAAAGTCAACTCTTAGCTTTAACAAAGGATTTATAGTCAACTATGATAATTGCATGCTAAATTGCAATGCTGTTTCTGTACCGATATTATTCATATTACTATACCTTTATCTAACAGATAACTTTCTGGCCAATGTATACAATTTTAATTTAACTTGCTATTATAGCTCAATTTAGCAGTTTTAATAATTAAATCACCCTGCTAATTTTAATCATGAATAATCTCTAATATGCACTGAAAACACTTCCATTACTTAAGAAATTAATAAATCATGTTATGAGTTATGGACATATATACTAATCGCGGATACGAATGTTGGAAGTATACTGACAGGCAACTTTAGGGAACTTAGTAGTTCTTTCTAAGCTCTTTCTAGTTACTGTATTCGGTTATGAGTACACCGACTAAATTTATTGTATTTATACTCTGTAAGACAGTATAATATTGTATTCTAAGTTGATGATATATTTAGTAATGTCTACTGTAGGTGTTGTGTTCAACATATGATAGATATTCTCGTTAGAGACTTAATTATTAAATATAGCTAGCTTAGTAGCTGTATTCCTTTTGAAGAGGAGCGCTACAGTGCTTACACTAGAGCTTCACACGAAAGGTGTAAACTAGCCTGTATTTGAGATCCTAATACTGAAGTGTGTAGTAAGTAAGGTGTTAAGACTGTAAGCGCAGAAAAGTATATAAGGGAGTAGTTTAGTAAAGTAAGATAGTACTTTCTCGTTAGAGGTCCTCAGCTAATCGATTACATTGTACCTTCGTAAACGAGGTTTTGTTCAATAAATCTTATTTTCTAAAGTTTTGAAGATTCTTGATCTATCAACCTCACATACTCGTATTCTACACTTAGTAGACGGTAAACTGCTATTGCTGTTACTTTGATAAAAAGTTCGAGTAAGTTTAATTTACGTTAATTTGTTAAGATTCTTTAATAATGCTAGATGATATTAACCGATTTTACTAATTTGAAGGTAGAATGAATTCTCATTGAGGACTGCTGTAGTTTTTATAGAGTTTTCGACAATTCTCTCTCTATAATTATACGTCTTTGCGTCGCTACACAATTATTTGACTTAATGGTACTTAGCTTAGAAAGTATATTTTACATATATTGCTTGGCTAGAGCTCGAATTCTAATCGAACTGTAAAACTTAATCATGTGGCAGTTAGGTGTATAGAATAACTCTACATGTGTACAAATATCTGAATTCTAGCATCAGTTCTTTTGCATAGAGGTAATGAATGTAAATTTATTGCATAGAAGTAAATGGAAGTAAATCTAAAATTAATTAGACAGTTAATTATTTCGATTTATTCGACTGGCAGAATTAAAGAAATATCGAATAAGATAAGTATTACCCGTATTATAGAATGCAGGTTATGAAGTTTGCAGAATCAATGCTGATCAGCACAAAATCATTCAACTATTAAAATGAAGTAGAAATTTAGCCTAATTTTATTTATTTTGCATATATTATCCATAGCATTCTTGACCATAGAATTTTTGAAATTAGTAAGATTCCACAGAATATTCTCTATCTATTCATAGGATAATCATCATATGTCTTTAAAATATTGTTTTATGTGCCAGAGATAAATCAAAGTCGAGAATCTAAAGTTCGAGTACGCAATCATAACATGTTTTTGATGCTAAAAGTATACGCAACGATATGGTCAATTTATGAATAAGATCGATATCTACACGATAAGAATCGATTGTGATATCAATAGTCAAGCTTAATATAGATTCTCTGCGTAAAATATATCGCATGCATAATTTTGTAGAATACATAAGAGATTAAATTGTGGTAATAGAATTAATTGACATATCGATAATTACTGTAGCTGTTAGTAGCAAATGCTATGAACTTGCAAATAAATTGTAAAATCAAATAAAATGTATATTTAGAGATCC